AATATGGCTACAATATTAATTTTTTGATAAATTTATTAAATATTCATTTAGTTAAACAATCACAAATGAGACAATAAATTTCAACATATTTATTATTTTTGCATAGTTCTTACTAAGCTATGTATTATATAAATTTAAAGGGGTTTATTTTTATTTTTAAAATTCTGTTTAGGCTTCCAAGATTCCAAAATGTGTATTTCAATTGGGCGATCGTCCTTTAAGTATTACTATACAGAGAGCATTAGGTGCGTTGAGTTGGTGGAGAACCATAAAACTTCTTTGGAGTTTGCTTGTACATCCAACGTCCATAAGGTTAATATTATAAGTTGGCAATCTTTTATATTTTTTTTTTGATTTTTATCATTTTGACTCTTTAGCAAAAAAGAAGTTGAGGATTATAAAAATTCTGATTTTCTGGAGAAAATGCTTTTGGAATTGTCAAAGGAATATCCTGAATTGGGTCGAGTATTTATACATGAGCGTGACAAATTCTTGGCATATTCATTGCAAGTAGCAACACGTCACTATCCAAGTAAGTGTCGATCAGTTTTAAATAACTTCTGTTAATTTTATTAAAAATAGTAATTCAATATATTGATTAGGCGTGGAGCGTCCTTTGTTAGTGGTTGGTGTTGTTGGATTAGGGCATATTTCAGGAATTGTGAAACATTTCGGCAAAGTAACGGCTGAAGAAATAAGAGAGCTTCTAAGGTAATATATTTAGTAGAATCATCATTATGGATATACATTGTGCTATATTTTTAAAAATATTTTTTAAGGGTTCCTGAACCATCAAAATCTAGTATAATCATTCAAAAAGGTTTTAAGTATACAGCTGTGGTTGCATGTGTTTATTTTAGTTTCAAAATGTTACCTATGAGTGTAAAGACAGGGATATTTGAGATGACTCAGAAGATTTTGCCTTCCAAATGAACCATTTATTAGAAATTAGTTTATTTAAGCATATTTTGCATATATGCCATTTTCATACACTATGAATTTATATATGATATGTATATATGTACATATATATTTATATACATATACATGGGAGTAGCTAGGAGACAGTTGTGGATTATTTTCGTACATTCACAAATCTTAGCTATTTCTATGTATATATATGTGGTATAAATATGTATATATAATTATTGCCGGTCGGACTTTTTGCGGGGCTTGAAGCTAAATGGCAATGCGGAACCTCATGAATATGAACTCGAAGAAGAAGTACTATAGTAATACATGCATTATATGTCAACATTTCACAAATTTGCAAGTGAATACAAAAATGCATTTAACATTAAATATACATTTAAAAATCGATTCAAAGCAAAAATTAAATGTTTAAACAATTAATTTAAAATTGACAAATAAACAATAATTATATATATGTTATCTTGAATTTTAAATAGTATGTTTTGAAATAAGAGTGCTTGGTGCACCTGCCTCTGGCCGGCCATGCATATATATTTATGTGTATTCATATATTTATATATGTATATATATGAAAGGTTTCATATATGTACATGCAAAAACAATAGTAGATAATTAAGGTATATTTTTGATATAATATTTTTAAATGTACTTTTACATACTGAAAATTTTACACTGTCTATGTAAGTATGAAAAATATAAATAATGTTTTTTAATATTGCAATAGTTTATTTGTATATATTTTAAACTCTTTTATTGGCAACTTCTCATCTCATACTCATACTCATACATCAAAGATTCACACAGTGTAAGACGATTTCGGGTTACTTCTGCACTTGAGATAATTTATATCAACAATGCTCTAGTTAAGTTTATGTCAAATTTAATAATGATTTAGTTAAATCAAAATTATCTAGCTATGAAATAAATTCAAAGTGTGATTGACAAATGCTTTGCATTTAAATCTCAAGTTTCCGTAACCCGAAGTCATTGGGTATAAAATGTATATAGCAAACTAAACATACTACCTTTTCCGTTGTTCGATTGCTCTGGCAGTTTTGTAATTGCAATACGTCATCTTCTGTGGTACATTAAGCTTTCTAGTGTCCATGGCGATTTTGGAATGAGAGCCGGATTGCCGGACGTCTTTGTCCATTATCGCAGGAGCAGTGGGAGGCGGTGAACGTAACCCTAAATATAATATGTCTTCATCCAATGTGTACTGGTGATTTATGGTGTGCGCCGGTGCAGTTGATAAGCGGAAAATGTGGTCAGGCGGCGTGGAAGGGCAAGAAACAGTATCACTACTTACATCCGATATGTCGTGTGAATTAAATACTAAAGAACCAAATATGTCACTTGGACAACAATTATTTGAATCTGCAAATAAATAAAAATGGATCTATCTACTATATGAATTCTATGTATACTATTTGGCACGGAGAGGATAATACCTCGTCTGTTTGGTGAATTAATTACATAATCTACATCTTGAAATGTTACTGGTGAATATACACTTCTGCAATCACTACCTCTGCTATGGCCTGAATCCGTTCGGTAATTCTCAGTTACATGATCATCAATCCGATATTCTTGGTCTTGTGAAATATTTGTGTTTGTACTTGTCTGTGTCGCTTGTATCATTATATTTCCTAGAGGTTTTCTTAATTCATTCTTATCTAACCAATATGTTTTCATTGATCCTGTAATGTAATGTAAAGTCATAGCATGTATTGGATATTCATTATATCCGGCAAATTCGTGTACCTTTTCCTTTGACGGTGATATCGCCTCGCTCGGTAACTTTATAATTTGGGGGTATTAAAACCCTAGTAGATTGTGATATATGAATTTTCATAGCGACACTAGTAGATTCCATTCTACTCGCTGTATTTACTGAATCTCCGAATAAACAATACCTTGGCATTTTCAGCCCGACTATACCAGCAACTACTGCTCCCGAGTGAATGCCGACGCGTATTTGCAAGTGAGATCCTATTAAAAATGCAACCCTCGTAATTTCCGGGTATTCATATTCATTCAACAAATTTATCATATTAAAAGCAATGTATTTATGCAGATGCAGTTGAAATGTTTAGGTATTGCAATTTTTTATCAGTATAACATCATCTATTTATATCCACGATAACGGACGGATCAAATACTGCGCTGAGTTAGCAATTTATATATTGTTACAATAACTCACCGAGTATAATTAAATGGTGACTCTTTATTATATTATTAAAATTAGCTCAACTTTTAGGAATACGATTAATAAAGTATAAACACTTTGATTTTAAAATTTTGTGTTGTGTCGGAGATTTATAATTTATACTATCAATAAAATTTAGAATATTTGAAAATGCGAAAACTAAAACCAAAGCTTGACTCGTGAATTGCAGTCCAGATATTTCTAACATTACAAAATAAGTTAAATCTAAAAATTCCATATATGTAGTTTCTATCCTATATAAATCTTTCGTGTGAATATCAGAGCCGGTATGAACATTTCAACACATCTCATAATATTTATATTTATTAGTAATTGAAATAAACCCGTGGAAGGATCTTTTAGATCTGTAATTGCTTCAACCATGTCCAAAGCCATGTTGCAAACTTTTTCGGCATGGTTGTCCTGCTTTTCCGGAGCACCTGATACCACCATGTATGCGTCTCCTATTGTTTCTACCTAAAAAATAACTAAAAATTAATTTACATACAGCACACACGAATGGCTACATATTTTTGTCCACGATTTCGAGAGCACTGATCAACTTATTTAAATAATTCAAAATTATTCGGCGTTAAATAATTCAATTACTGTTGATGGGGAGGCGCTCTGATTAGTTTTTGGCAAAGGCAGATCCAGCCGTTTCGAAGATTCGAGTCAAAAAGTGTGCAAAATGGCAATTCTGTTTTTGAGAGAACAGAGCGTCCGGTTTGAATGACGGAATGAAGAACTGATTAAATTTTTGGAAAGCAGGTCCAGCGGTATTGGAGATCCATAATAAAAGTTAAAAAAAAATTTTTTTAAAGCTTTCAAAAAAAAAAAAATTTAAGGCACGATGCACGATTTATAGTTTGTAACTATAAATATATTACTTACTTTATAAACATTATTTTTTTCTGTCAATGTATCAAATATTGAATACATTGCATTTAACATGGAAACCACTTCCATAGGCGTTATTCTGCTACAAATTTCAGTAAAAGTAACTACGTCGGAAAATAATATGGACACACTATCGAACATCTGAAATACAATGAAACGTCTGACTACGATAGCATCTTGTATGTTTTAATATGTAAACTTAAGACATTTACTGCACTTATAACGTACTGTATGCTTTTCTATAGTGCTGTTAGGTATTTTTACCTCACATGTATCAATAGGATTTTCCCCTGTTCTTAGTCGATCTGCAACTTGTTTTGGTATCATTTGATATAGCAATTCATCTGTACGGCGCATTTCTTCATCTAGCTTTCTCATTGATTCTTCAAGTTTTTTACTTTTTTGTTGCTCCTGATCCAATGCCAATTTCAGCTCGACTGATTGCTGAGTTCCGGCCAACATTAAGTCTCTTGAATTATTAAAGTTTTAAATACTAGTATTATTATATATTTGTTTATTTTTTTACTTGAAATGCATTAAACTTTTTTTTAACAAAAAGGATGAGTACGATAAACGGCTAATAAAGTGATTAACAGTAATATAAAAAATACAACAGCAAAAGAAGGCGTCTCTGTACGGTTTAGAGACATGGACTCTAAGAAATGCCGACAGAACTACCTGGAGATATTTTATATGTGGTGCTCGAGATGAATGGAGACGGATAAAGTGGACGGATTTAATAAATAAAGAAGTGCTGTGAAGGATGGAGAAGAAAGAACTCTACTAGGTACGATCATAAAAAGAAAAGAAAACTGCATCGTACTCGTAATGAGTAAAGAGTGCATGCTGCACTACGTCGTCGATTGTAAAATAAGAGGACTGAAATGATTAAGAGGAAGAAAAATGCGAATGACTGATTACTTTATATATATATATACAGGGCCGGTCCTGCCTTGCATGCGATGCATGCAAAAAATGCGGGCGCACGCCTTAGGGGGCGCCAAAACGAGTTTCAAAAATTAAATTTATAATATAATATATTTATAATATAATATTTATATTTTTTATATAAAATCTAGAATTATTTATATAAAATCTAGAATTATATAAAATTTAGTATACATAATAAATTATAATAAACAATCTAACTTAATTAGGGATACGAAGACACAAAAAGCATTTATTTACATTTATTTTGCAATGTGATATCAGTAGAAACAATTAACCGATTAATAACTCTGCAAATTAGTAAATAACAGCTCTGTTCATTGCTTAATCTACTTATTAAATTTTTTCTTTGTTTGAAGTTAACGCGGAATCGAAAAAGAAATTGTCTAGTGTTCAATCCCATAAGCTCAAACCTGCGAAAAATTAAATTAACTATTGGGCATTATTGACGAAAAATTGCGAGCTGATTTAGTTAAAACGAAACTTGTTAAAAAATATAAACAAATTATAATCGGGAAAATAAAAAATGGGGAGTCAGTGCTTAAAAAATGGCATGTTTATTCCGAGAAATTGAATTGTAACTTTTGCTTTTATTGCAAATGTTTCGCTTCTGATGAATTTTGAATGTTGAAGACATGCGTGGTTAGGGTTATGGAAATGGAGCAAATATGAAAAATGAAAGCAAAATGTACTTAGGAACAAAAATCTTTAAGCTTTTTTTATACATAATTATTAACTATGCAGAAATAATACAGATACAAATATAATTTGTTTCAGTACAGTTAAGGGAATATGTAATTTTTTGCATGTTTTTGGAAAATACTTTAAAAATACGTTAAAAGTTTAACTTTAAAACAACAATCTGATACTTTGAATCTGATGGGAAAGTAAAGCTGAATACAATTCGGATCTTACGATACCAATACGGAGGAGTTTACGATGCAATTTTGAATATTGTAAATAATGAAAAAATAAATTAAAATAAAATTTAATTTAAAACATAAAATACGAATGCTATGTTTAAAAATTAAAGACTATTCTTTTTTGCTTTTTTGGCGTGATTTGCTCTATAGAATAAATAGCATAATAAATAAGTTAAATGTTTCAAAACCAAAATATTAATATTACACCTGCGTCAGAAATAATTGAGAATTTAAAAATATTTGATTATGATCAACCCGTGAATCGCCTCGATTTTCTAAATAAATTTAAAATTAATGTATTTTATACGCTTTTAGATTACATCTAAATTTTTGTGTACTAAATTCAGAATGATTAAAAATTAATTTAAAAAAATAAAGTAAATGTTTATATAATTTTAATGAAAAACTGATAAAACAGTTGAAATTATTGGGGGGGGGGGCTAGGACAAATCTTGCATGCGGGCGCTAAGGACCCCAGGACCGGCCCTGTATGTATATATATATATATATATATATACATATAATGCATATAAATGTATATGTGCATTAATACAAATATACATATATTCAAATTCAAGTATTCAAAATTGTGGACCGTAAAATATAAAATAAAAAAATATTTACCGGCTAAAATCATGCATAGAGAGATCATTTATATATAGTCCAGTGGATATCAAAGCAGTTAAATCTGGCATTACAGGAGTGCCAAGGTACATCATCATCCTCCAATTTTCCATGTAAATCATTTGTCCTAATAATCGTATTCTTAAATAATTACTAACACCATAAATAAATTTAATTATTTCATTGTTGAAAGTATAAAACCTTTCAGTCTCAAAGTTTTGTCCTCCATTAAATCGCTTTCTTCATTTTTAAACTCTGCAATTCTTGTATCACCCGGTTGCTCTTGAACTGGCTCGTGAGTTACTAATTCAAAAATATTATTTGTCCGGTTCAAAATCTTCAAAAATAAACCACCACTTTAAACCAAGCGTATTAATATTGTAAATTACTTTATTTATGAATTTTTACCGTTTGAAATTTAAAAGAGATTAAAGGTCGAACTAATTCAAATCTTGACGTAATTTTTTTTCCTAGTAGATTTGGTAGAATCACCATCAAAGAATTGCCTATACTCCTTATGATCATGTCTGCACTACAAATTGAGCATGTTATTACTTTCTGTTACAATTTTGATACATTTATAAAGTATCTAAGGATAAGTTACCCGAAAACTATACAAAATGGAAAAATTTCAAAGAGTACTGCAGCACTAATTGGTAGATGTTTTTCTTCGCGGGTCATTGCTAATGACGCCAGTGTAAATGCTCGATTGTCGAAAGATAATTGAAACGTTACATGCACCGTATCCATTAGCATTTCTTCTCGTACTAATATTATTTCCATTTCCTTGTGATAAAAATGACGTGCCACCTTTGATTAAAAATATTTCAGATGTATTATTTTGAACAATCAAGAATAAAATTTTATTGGTGAAGAACGCACTACTGAAAATACAACTGTAAGGTTCAATGCATAGGATAAATATACTAAATTTTATTTGCTTCAAATTCACTTATCGTAAAGTAATCAGCTGTAGTACAAATGAAAAATCTATTATAAATTTCATAAAGCTCCATATCTGCGTTCAATGATTTTTCCAAATGATGACTTTTAGCATTAACCACACTCTAACACAGTTCGACAATTATGAATGTCCCTTAACCAAGTTCGAGAATTAAGCAAATATTTTATAAAATAAAAGAAAAAGCTATTAAAGCTTAAATTTATAAAATTAGTGAAATCACCGTACAAGATCTTATTAAACATATTAAAACCAGTGGAAATGATACCTCATTTAACAATTTTAAATTGAAGTGCGTACGTACTATTCAAAAAAATGTCTAGGCTTATCCAAACAGTTGGCCATATTATTTAAACAAAGATCCTTCAAATAAAATAAGCGCACTGCTTGTATGTAGCATCAATAAAAGTATATAAAGATCTTTTCATTAAAACTATACTATCGCAAATAACAGATTTTTTACAAAAAATTACAAAGAGGATGAGTCTGAAACCAGTACAAAAAATGCTCAGGGGATGAAGATATCTTGCCAAAAAATAGTTCGTATTGGATAGCACTTATTGTTAGTTATGACGGAGAAAATGATTATAAAATTTAATAAGTATTACTAGTTAAGAAAATTTAATAAAAATAATTACCTTTATTATGAAATTATAATATGTATCTTTTTTTCTCAAGTTTTGGAACACGACCCCTCTTTTTGTACTAATCCCTGCTCTGTTTCGTATAGCACGAATTCGCGTAACAGTTTGTAGGTAGTTTTTTGAAACGTAACCCTTTGCTATACTGTATGGTTACTTGTACATTAAATATAATTATCTTTATTATGAAGGTGTAAAGTAGCAATGTATAATATTAGGTTGTCAAATATCTCCTTTCCGCTTTTTTGCTCTTGGTTTATAATACAAAAAGGCGGAAGGGAGATATTTGACAACCTAATACTAACATTAATGTGTTTAGTACCTTCAGTTCTTAATTCACTAACCTCTCTAATTTGACCCATCGTGTAATACACGAAACCTCTCCGTTTGCTTCTGTAATGCAAGGTTAAACCTTGCCTTGTTTCATTCTCACATATAAAACTTGGTGCTTGCATTTTGGGGTATGAAAATTTCAAGTACTCGTGCAAATTATCCAAACCATTCAAAAAATCCCTCATATGTCTTCCGAGAACCGATAATACTTTGTCATATCCATATTGGCTCACAAAACTCACAAACTGAACACCCATTGCGGTCATAAACTCACGTTCGGTCAAACCTAAAACCTAGAGAAATGGAATGATCGCCACATTGGAATAATTGATATAGTTCGAGGTATAAAATCCCGAACCTGTTGAGCTCTTTTAGCCAACGTGTTCAGTAAGTTTTCCGGATAAACTTGATGAACACTGAATGCTGGGGCATCGATGCCAGCTTGACGTCGGATTTCATGCCATTTGTCTTCTCCGTAAACTTCTTTAATGAAGGACACTAAATTTTCTAACAGTATTCCGTACATTTTTTTTTGAATATTGTCGCGTTAACCGCGACGTACGTACTACGCTTTTGCGTTGATAAAATCCACTGAACCAACTGTTTGCACGCAACTCACCACACTCGTACACAATGGCATTGAATGTACTGGTACCCCCCAATCAATTAGTTCTGCAAATAATGAACGCGAGCCCTATTAAAGCAATTAATCGAAAATGCCCTAGTGCTTCTTCAATTCTATAATCTAACAAAAACAATCCTCCCAAAAATGTTCAATATCTATTCCTTATTATATCCGATCAATTTACGATTATAGCACATTAAAAATATCACCATAAAAATCGAACAAAACATTTTAATTATTATTGTTATAATATTAAACAATGACGCTCACTTTTGAATAATCATTGTTTCATTAATTTTCTGATTAATTGCAAAATGTAATTGCATAAGTATAATCATAGTTTAGCATTTGTTTCTTATATTTTTGTTATTTTGTTAAATTTTTATCCAGATTAGTATTTTATTTTTGTAGAAGCTTATACGGCGAATTATGAAGTCTTATTATTGATTATACCTGAGACCAAGGATAGACTTACATCTGTACGATAACAGTATACATACAAATATTTATATATATATATATATATATATATATATATATATATATATATATGAAGTCAGGGTGGTAGCAGCTAGGGAGTATTTAAAGAATTATATAAACATCATAATATAATAGCAATCCGTGGAAAGTATATTTTTAAATACTTCTTTAATAGTAAAAGTAAAGAAATATCTTCGTTATAGTAGGATTTGAGCATAGTTAATAGTAATCGCAAAACAATCGAAAATAAAATTTTTGCACATCTTAACATTTCAGAGGTTTCTGAACAATTGGGCATATTTTTGAATAATGGATTTTCATACATCACCTGTATGCGTGTGTGAATCCATACATAACAGAAGAGTACACCAATCAACCTATAGATAAAAGAGAATAAGATTTGAATGATTCAAAAACCGTTCGATTTCTATTGATGGGCAGATGTGCTTTTTAGGTTTTGACAAAGTCTGGTGCAAAATATGGCAATTCGGTGAGGAGAGTCCAATTGAATGATTCGAAAAACAATTCACTTGTATTGACGGAATGAAGAATTGATTACAATTTAGGGAAGGCAGGCCCAGCGGTTTTATAGATTCTGAAAAAACGTTAAAAGAATGTCATTTGGCGGTCAAAAATGATCATTAGGCGTATGCACCTCAAATTATCAGATATTTTTAATGATAAGTATAAATTTTGTTTCCATTTCTTTGGATCCCGCACCAAGATTTATAATGTTTAAAGTTCATTTACATAGTTCAAACGAATATTCTTAACATTTTCGACAGTATAGAAGTTTAAAGCTTTTAAAATTTTCATTCATGTAAAATATTTCTAAATTTTTTGATTGAATAGAGTCGATGAGGGCAGATGATTTAGTAGTGCAGAATTTAGTCTGAAATAAAAAGTAAAAAGGTTAGAAGAATTTTTTTAAATGATAGATAAAGGATACATACTACCTGATTCTTCATAAGAGCTCACTGTTCAATTGATTAGAGCCGTATGATAATACGGTTTGGAAAGTTCTAGATATTTGATTTAAGACACGATGCCTTGCACCTCTAGTTTTAATTGCATTAATATCATTTAATAATATCACTGTAAGGCTATTAAAATAACTCAAAATACGCAATGATCTGTATTAAAAAATACAATCACTTTCGATGTTCTTCTGTCTTTCTGTTTAAATTTATAGCAAAGTAAATAATTTAAGACATCGAGTATCTTATAATAAACATACATTGTTTAAGAAATCTAATAGGATTCTGATAGAATTTTACCATAAGCATTATTCCTCCTCAAAATAGTTGTCGTTTAGAAACTTAATTTAATTTTTGATCTGTTATCTGGATGAATGCCTGCCCATAAAACTTTTTGTTTTTATCTCCACGTTTTTTATCATCTGAAGAAAAATTATTATACATATACAGAAATATATACATATATATATATATATATATTATATTTATATAAGGATTTGAAAAACTTTTTAATTACATTATATTTTATACTTACTGTTATGCTGAACCAACTCATTCATAATATATATATATATATATATATATATATATATATATATCAGTACCAGAAATAAGTAGTAATAATTCAAAACACGATTGACACATTGATGTCGTTAATATATTAAGTATATATTCTCGCAATCAAGGTCCATGGACAATAATACGACTTCAACTGGTAAACGCGCGTGCTGTTGCAAGTATACATATATATATATATATATATATATATATATATATATATATATATATATATATATATATATATATATATATATATATATATATATATATATATGTATATATACATATATATGTATATATATATACGGCTGCTTTGGAAAATTGGTGGAACGTTCCGACCAAAAATTGTGGATTTCTTTAAAAAATTTGCTGTTTTTATATTTCGATTTTTTTTGAAAATCTTGAACTTTTTTTAAAGCAATAGCGTTGCGTAGCTGTTTTAAAGACGAAACAACGAAGCGCGTAATAGTAGAAGAGCCAGTGAACTATTTGACTAACCTCTTTTCTCAGAGCTAGAACTTTTTTTAATGATATTTTATTATCGACCCATTAAGAAGGATCACGGATAATCATGGGACCGGAACCCATACAATACAATGTGGAACTACCACACATGTGTAGAATCTTGGTAAAAATATTTTTTAAAAAATCTTTTCTCCGTTATGTCTTCAAAACCAGTTTACTGACAACACATATATCACACACACTATCTATCTGTGATTTTTTACGTTAGTAAATTGTGAAATATTGCTTAAATGCAAGTTTAATGTTGTGTTGTGCATTACCATATCCTGATACCATGGATTATTAAAATCTATCTAATTGTAAGTACTATTTGCTTTTTTTCTTTTTTTTATTTTCACTCCAATTCAATCGTTTTAGTTTTTAATTTTATTTTTGGCGGTATTTTTACCGGTATTTACAACAAAAATACCGGTATTTTCGGTATTTTTACATAAGCGCTATTTGATACATAATACACTAAAGTTTAAATTGCCCGGAACAAATTTATCTTTAAATTCCATAACCGCATAAACAGCTATATCTTTAAGTGATTCTATAGGATAAACAAATGTCAAATATTATCTCAACTCGCCATTAAACTGAATATTTATTGCTTTACTAAGGGCTTCATATCGTGTTACAATAAATAGAATTGGACTGATAAATAATAATGTTTGTTTCATCTGATGTAAAATAATGTAACGGTTTTTTAAGTGATATTTGCACCAAAATATTTTATATCATACAGATTACCCCTGCGTAATCTTTATTTTTTTCTAACTTTATACATAATAATTATGATAATTACTAAATATGTTTGCTTCTTATTACAATTATAAAATATTATTTTTCGAAAACGTTTCGAAGTTTGAAAGTACTATAGAAGCATCACATTGTTTTAAATAACAATACTCATCAATTATAGTAAGTTATTATTTATCTTGTCAAAGTATACGATTTTAAATTAGTGTAGAAAAATTATTTTTTTTAAATATTGGAGATTATGCTAATTTAACACATCGGATACAGACAATACAGTTTATTATAATAATGTAATATAATCTTTTATGAGTTTTGGTCTTTCTTACTCATAAGTTTGTTTTTGGTGAAAAGTACTCAATATTCTAGATAATAAATTAATTAAATTGAATATTATTTTGTTAAATTATTATTTAAAGAAATAAACTTATTGTTTTATTTTATTGTTTTTTAGTTGAATATAGTTGTAGTTGTATATACATTTTTTTATATTTGTACTGTTAACTTTCAATTTTGTTTACGTTTGTTTAAGATAATAAAAATACCGGTAATTTACCGGTATTCCGATTTTAAAATGAAAATTTACCGAAATACCGGTATTGAAATTTTCCATCGGTATTGCATTCCCTAATTATAAGTGAATTTCACAATGTTTCAAATTTCTGTTTGAATTTCGCGCTTTAAATTGCACAAACAGTTGCGGTCGTCATTTTCCTAACTTCAGCCACTTCAAATGTCAAAGAAATTGTTCGTGAATTAACATAAGCTCGCGTTAATTAAGAGTTTTTAATTAAATCCTTAATTAGATTTAATTAATTTGTGCATCAAATCGTCTAATTAATTCTGTAGATCATATTGATATAAACAATATATTGTGAAATGTTAATTAAAAGCCAAAAAAATGGGTATTCGTGGAAGTGCTTCGGTGTACCTTGAATGTAATAATTATCTCTTTCAGGGCCCCCATTTTGAATCAATTTTATAATTAAACTTTTTATTTACAGTGCTAATGTATCCTTTATTTATATATATATGCAATTATCAAATGTAATTTATATATGTGGTTTTGTAGGTAATACTTGAAGTACTTCCACAACATATCTGTTATTATAGAATTCTAAATTTACGAAAGTCTCTAATATAAGTCCGTGTGTTGTGTAAAAACTTTACTCGGACAATTGCAACAGGTCAAATAGACTTGTAAAAGACTAAAGTTATGTAGTGGTTCTAAAGTAGTGATTTTGTGTCGAGTACTTGAGTTTTCTGGCAGATGCTCCAGAGGTGGTTGAAGTCTTGGATTTGTGTTCTGGGAGCTGCTATACAGGATATCTAAAAATGTAAGTGCAAAGCATGTTTTATACAAAGCGAGTCAAAGAATATATTTCTGGAATTATATACAGACATTTATCGTACTACATCTGATATGTAGTACTTATAATATTTTAAATATTCAATATTTAATTCTTATGTATATATGTTTTTCTTATTTTCAAATTTAAAGCAGTCAAATAATTTTGAAAATTTTTACTTCATCACATATTTTTTGTCATCTTTAGTGAAACTATAATTTCAGTAGAAATAAATAAAGAGATATTACTCATAATTTATTTTCTGAAAGAG